TTGTCTAGCATCGTGCAAATTGCCTGTGTGTTTAAGAAAAGAGTAGTGATAAAAAGACCGAATTTTATGTGTTAAAATTTAAGATCAACGAGATATTAACTTCTATCATATCATTGATTAAAACTTTTGCACCTTCATATACTACTCTTGCTAAAAATGAAATTTCATAAATATATGAGACAAATGTATATCAATCTCAAATTTAAAAAAAATTAAAGTTATAATCTTAAATTTTATTATTTTATTTAATTACAATTTAATTTAAAATTTAAAATTTTACTTTATTAAATGTTAATATTTAGATTTGAAACTAATCATATTAGAATATATAATTAGTTTTTAAATCTATGTATTAATAACTTATAAAGTGGATTTCTAAAATTTAAATTTAAATTTAAAATTTTAAATATAAGTTAAGATTTCAATTTTTTCTAGAATCAAGATTAACATGCACTATCTTCATATAATTGAATATTGAGAAAATTATAATTTAACAACTTGTAATTTAGGGTTAGTGTACAAAAAGACTTGAGATTTTAAAATATACATATAATATACTTGTGATTTGAGGTAGATGCACATAAAAATCTAAGATTTTAAGATGTGCAAATAAGAATCTAAAGTTTGTATTATGTGTACATAACCACTTGGAGTTACATGAAATTTTCTCAAATACCCTTATTTTCCTTTTCTTTTCTTTTCATTCTTTTAAGTTAGGGATTTTAAAGAAATTTTAAGTGATTATTTGCATCAATTGCAGACTTCAGAGATTTATGTGCAAATTTTGATATCATAGGCTTTTATTTGCACATACCCAACACCACAAATATGTTATATGTACATTTTAAAACCCCAAGTCTTTGTATGCACTTACCTCAAATTACAAATAACTAAATCACAATTTCCCCTTAAATATTTTAGTAAAGTAGTTAATTTAATGAATAGTTGAATAACTTTTAGGATTTTTTTGGTTTAGTTCAGAAGTTTAATTTCTCTCATTTCAATCTACAAATATCTTACAAACTCATAATCAAATTGGTATGATGTGTTAATTCGGTTTTAATTTTACAAACAGAAGTTTATAAAAACATGACACGTTGCCAAAAACAAAACGACTGTGAAGGCTGGGCCTTTCTAACGAGGTCGAATTGGATCAGTAAAAGGCCCAAGATGAAAGGATTTTAGATTTAAATAAACTAAATCAAAGAATTTTTATATAATATATCGGCCTAGTAGTTAAAATAAAAATTCTGCCATCTTAGATTTCATGTTCGAGTATTGCTTAATGCAAGATATTGTCGAATTTTATGTTGCTTTGTAATTTGATTTGATCTGCATTGTGCGCGAATGTTGACTAATTAATATGATGTATACCCTAGTAAATTGTAATAAAGTCGAAAATATGTAAGCGGATCAACTCAGCAAGTTCTCACTGAAATAGGATCCACGCAAGGAAAAGCACTTGCGATTTGTTGGTCGTTAGGGGCAGCCCGAAAATGTTCAGGTCGAAATATGGCTTTCAAATTAAGTTTCGAGTTAGTGGATGTTGTAGAGAAAAATTCATTGTATCAATACTTCAAACCCCATAATTTTATCCAGCATATACGATTCGACTTCAAGAGGTAGTTCCATCCCACCGGATAATTTCATGTACATCTTCACAACCTTCCTCTACTTTCACAAAATCTCAAATTTTTAAGCAAGAAGAGGATGCATAATTATGGCAGCTAATTATTAAACAAAAAAGTCTAAGAATCCCAACTAGTACAATACAACACATCCAATTCCTGGGCTGCACCTTCCCCAAGAATCCCTCCGCCGCACTTCCCCCATAACCTAACAACGTTGCCGTTAATCACCGTCAAGTCCTGGTATCGGTACCACTCCATTTCCCCTGTTCCCGTCGTCAACACTCCCTCCCAACTCCCCCACCACTCTTCAGTACCACCGTTGCCACTTTGGTCACTGCATTCGTCCTCCTCTTCCTCCGCCGCCATCATATCTCCCTCATCATCCTCGTAGTACAAAACGAACTTCCTCCCTTTTGTCACTCCGTCACAGCATTCCAACGGAAAAGTAACATCCGGCCCCGGCCATGACCACGAAGTTAACGGCTCCTCTTTCACCGCTGACAACTCCTCGACGTGGCCAACACAAGATGGTGGAGGTGGTGGTGAAGACGTGTCGTGGTCCTCGCATACGAGCTTCTTCACAGGGTTACTAATTCCAGCAGCAGCTCTGATTCTCCAAAAGCTCAACGCCGCCGTGATAACCGCAACCAACGGCCATAGATTAATAACAAACGCTAAAATCCCAAAACTTACGTAATTTAATGGGAGAGCTTCAAGAGGAGAATCCAAAACCACGTTCATGGTTATTCCTCCTCCTCTCCCCTTTCTCCACCTCCGGCCGGAGCTTAATTTCTGTTGGGGTCTTAGTAGTATCTCCGGATTATGTATGAGGGAAAACAATTAAGCCTCCTTGGAATTTATAAAGGGAAGATATGTGAGCCGTCGGATGCGAAGCAAGTGGGAGGGGTAGGATCAAATTTAAGATGCTGAGAATCCAAAGCTTAGATGCCATTATTTTATACCGAACTTCATAAAATGAGGGTCATTCTGGGCCCACGTGTGAGAAGATGAGTGGTTGCGAAATTCGGCCCGCACATCGTCCTGTGATGTGCACCGCTCGAGAGTGAGGTGTCGATACTTGAACTCGTGATGTGTGAGACCGTAGATTAATTAATCTAACGCGTCAGCCGTTAGCCGTCGGGCGTAAGGCATACGTCTGGATTTTTCTGTACGTACCATTTTATGAAGGGTTACCAAAAAAAAAAAA